CAACACACGTACGGGACGGGAGACGTCTCCTCCTTCTTGATCCAACAAGGGGGGAAGGAGAGGTTGATGAAGATCCAGCAGCACGACGGCGTGGTGGTGGATGCAGGGCGTCACAGCAGCAGGGCTTCGCCGAGACTACGAGGGAGAGACGTAACGGGAGGAGTTGGAGGCGCCAGGGGCTGGTGTATGAAGTCCCTCCTCTCCCCCACTATATATAGGGGTGCCAGGGGGGGCGCCGGCCCTAGTAGATGAGATCTACTAGGGGGGCGGCGGCCTAGGGGAGGTTTCCCTCCCCCCCAAGGCACCTAGGGGTGCCTTCCACCACTAGGACTCCTCCTAGGGGGAAACCCTAGGCGCATGGGCCTATAGGGGCTGGTGCCCTTGGCCCATGATGGCCAAGGCGCACCCCCTACAGCCCATGTGGCCCCCCGGGACAGGTGGCCCCACCCGGTGGACCCCCGGGACCCTTCCGGTGGTCCCGGTACAATACCGATAACCCCGAAACTTGTCCCGATGCCCGAAATAGCACTTCCTATATATAATTCTTTACCTCCGGACCATTCCGGAACTCCTCGTGACGTCCGGGATCTCATCCGGGACTCCGAACAACATTCGGGTTTCTGCATATACATATCTTCATAACCCTAGCGTCACCGAACCTTAAGTGTGTAGACCCTATGGGTTCGGGAGACATGCAGACATGACCGAGACGCTCTCAGTCAATAACCATCAGCGGGATCTGGATACCCATGATGGCTCCCACATGCTCCTCGATGTTGTCATCGGATGAACCACGATGTCGAGGATTCGATCAAACCCTGTATGCAATTCCCTTTGTCAATCGGTACGTTACTTGCCCGAGACTCGATCGTCGGTATCCCAATACCTTGTTCAGTCTCGTTACCGGCAAGTCACTTTACTCATACCGTAATGCATGATCCCGTGTCCAACACCTTGGTCACATTGAGCTCATTATGATGATGCATTACCGAGTGGGCCCAGAGATACCTCTCCGTCATACGGAGTGACAAATCCCAGTCTCGATCCGTGTCAACCCAACAGCTACTTTCGGAGATACCTGTAATGCACCTTTATAGTCACCCAGTTATGTTGTGACGTTTGATACACCCAAGGCACTCTTACGGTATCCGGGAGTTACACGATCTCATGGTCGAAGGAAGAGATACTTGACACTTGCAAAGCTCTAGCAAAACGAACTACACGATCTTTTATGCTATGCTTAGGATTGGGTCTTGTCCATCACATCATTCTCCTAATGATGTGATCCCGTTATCAACGACATCCAATGTCCATAGTCAGGAAACCATGACTATCTGTTGATCACAACGAGCTGGTCAACTAGAGGCTTACCAGGGACATAGTGTGGTCTAAGTATTCACACGTGTATTACGATTTCCGGATAATACAGTTATAGCATGAATAAAAGACAATTATCATGAACAATGAAATATAATAATACTTTTATTATTCCTCTAGGGCATATTTCCAACATTATTTGCATCTACAGTAGGGAATTGGGTATTCATATTACCTTTGTAGATTGCAAACCCTAGATGACGATCCTTTCGTAGCAAGAATAGGCCGGAGACCGTCCAAAGCTTCGTCCCCAGCGGAGTCGTCAAAAAGTGTGTTGACGCTGGCACTTGTCACACAAACACGTCGATGTGTACCCGCGGCGGCGAGGAAGATGCTCCGCAACTCACACCGCGGGAGGCCGACTTCCAGCACGATACGCAAGACAGCAAGCCGGCGCTTTTGGGACCAGACGCCTCGCTCGCCCGGGAGGGACCCCGTCAGGGCTCGCGGCGACGATTGGCTGCTAGAGGTCGGCCTTACCGCCCCTAGAGCCTCGTGGATTCGCAGCCTCCAATCTTGAAGAACGACGAAGAACGAGAAGAAAGATACAAGGGGAGAGATAAAAGTAGATGAACACAAAAAAGTATTAGATGTGTTTGTTCGATTGGTGTTGTTCAATCGGCCGTCACCCCTTAGGTATATAAGAGGCGGCTGGACTTCCCGTGCAAGGAAAAAACTTGGATTCACGTCCAAAACCCTAGTCAAATTCGGATTGGTTTTGTCTGAACTTTCCAAAACTGTTCGGTTTAAACTGGCTGGATCTTGCAGGTCTTTTCTGTGGTGGTAAACGATCTCGGATGGAAACGAGCCCAAAAGCAATCTTAACCGTTTCGACGAGACGAACAACTTTTATGTTGAACGTTTTTTGATCAGAGATCATTTTAAGGGTCAAATCGGTCGCACGAAACAGGCTATCCCTCGCTCTACCCATCAGACAGGGTGTCTGGTGGGGCGCGCCAGTTTTTGCCTCCTGACAGGGCTGTATTCCGATGGCTCTAACTTTTGCATACGAACTCGGATTGGAACGATTCTTATATTAAAATCGATCATTTCGACGAGACGAAGACAATCCGTGTAGATATTTTTTCCATTTGAGGTCGTCTTGGGGGCTTAATCAGCCAAACTGTACTCTGAATATAAGATCTTAGTACTTTGAGCATAGTTTCGGCCTTCGAGATGAAATCGGACTGCGATGACCCAAACTTCAAAGATGTTCATATCGACAATACGGAACTCTTTCATGAAGATCACTTCTCTATTTGAGGCCATCTTAAATAAGTTATTGACCGTGCCAAAATCTGGTGTCAACACTACTAAGGCGTAAATGATATGCCACAAAAATTATATGGTGGGAAACCACTTCGAAACATGAATCCAAAAATATATTTTCTCTATAGCATATATTTTATATATTTTCAGTTATATAGATGATCAAATTTTAACCCGAAACATGAGGGCCCAGTAAACTTGAACATAGGGAGTAGAAGAATCCTAAGGGCAAGTACATTGGTTTAGACGGCAACAGTCTGCAGTACATATCCACGTCATATGCAGATAGTGTTATAGACAGCCTCTACAGTGGGTTATCTTTTTCAGTTGTCTGTATAAACTTGTTACTGCATGAACAGTCGTGGCGTCGTGGATTTATCAAGGCTGGGGACGTCCACCATCGTAGAATCATGAGCACCTGAGATGGGCCTGCCATGGGATCACGAGATAATCTGGCGCACAACCGCACCACTACCGACACCAGCCATACAACGGGAAAAGTGGCGTCGTTAGCCAGCGGATTTTCATGCCATTCGACCGTCTGCTAATTTACCGACGACCTTTTCTTTTTCTCTTCCTCTCTCTTCTCCACCTCACCAAATATCATAGGTGGCACCTTTTATAGACAGTTGAGTCAACCCCATTGTACATGCCCTAATGGCCCATTACAAGGGGACAAAACCGTCGGGGTGCGGGGTGGAAGAGGGCACATGGCTCAACCACCGTGGGTCGTCGTCAACGTTCCTTCCCCACTTGTTTATTTAAATTGTAAAGTGTAGGTGATATATGGATCCGATCGAGGTTCTAGTCTACTCCAATCTCTCTTGTCAAGTTTATCTAGCGCTTCCGGCATATTCTGCCGTATATATGTCTCTGCTCTACACTCTTACCTCAAGCAGATCTGGATAGCAGCGTCGTTTCAGTGGCTTGAGCAGAGCCTGCCGCCATACGTCTCTCCGTCTCACACCGCAACGGTGAGTTCGCTGCCCCGTCTCCTCCGCCGCTCTATTTCTTTCAGAGACAGACAACTTAATCGTGCAGCGTATCTGGTATCGTACTAGCTAGTGTATAGGTAGCCATCTTCCAAGCTGGTATGCAGTCAACAACTGAAGATCCCTCGCTCTCCTGCTTCCGAAATTTCTATCTTTGTCGGGAGGAGTACATTTGAACCTGTAGGATGTACTCCCTCCGTTCCTAAATATTTGTCTTTTAGAGGTTTCAAATAGACTATCACATACGAATGTATGTAGACATATTTTAAAGTGTAGATTCATTCATTTTACTTCGTATTTAGTCATTTGTTGAAATCTCTAGAAAGACAAATATTTAGGAATGGAGGGAATACTAGATAGGAACGGATCGGCAATTTATTTTGTGTTATGTTGGATATGCTAGTTCATTGAAACTCGGCTTGGCTTGTCGGTTTCACAGAGTTGGTAGTTCAGTTTGTTTAGATTTTCTCGTCGTCAATGAACTATGCTTGCTCATGCTCAAACTCTCTATGTTGGATATGCCGAGCCGTTTGTTGTACAAGCCAGTTTTAATTATGCTAACAATAGTCTGAGTTTCAATTTGTGTCTGATCTGGTGGCCACCTATTAGCCTCTGCACCAAGTTCAATGGAATTAAGGCTCGTCCATCCGAACTTACTATTAGTCACTCGTATATTGGACCAACCTTTGATCATAGTTTGCACTAGTAAAATATATGTGATATGGCATAAAAATATATCATTTGATTCATATTCGAAGCAAGTTTTTACTGATGCAATTTTTACCACATATGTTTTAGTAATCAAATTTGGTGAAAACTTTAACCCAAAATACGAGGTGGGAGCTGACATACCAGGTCAAAGGAAGTAAGCACAAAGTCACCACAAGTATTTTGTGTGTAGTTTGATTATGCATGGTTTTGACAAAATCAATATGATTACATAAAAGGTGTATAAAATCGATAGTCAGCGTGACACAAAGGGTATGAGTTGGCCTTCTATAAAAGATAGAGAAAATTGTGTCTTGCTCAGGGAAAAAAAATACTACATTTTCTTATAAAAGTATTGATATATTAATATCAACAACATATCAATTACATCTGGCCTTTGCATCAACACCACTCAAGACCTACTCAAGTCATATAGGATGCACACAGCCAAATAATTAAGTAAGAAAAAGAAAAACCAACAGATAAACTGCAACAAAGAATGGAAACATTCACCAATGAAGTCAATCGCACATAACAGGATAGTTGCTCCAACAACAACGACGCTTGCAGGGCAAGTTTCTTTTCTTCTTTTTTGTCTAGCTAACAGGAATTGTCAGTGTAATCGTGCTTGCATCATTTTCTGTTATAGAGAGGATGCCCATAGAGAATATGCCCAAAGAAGCAAACGAAGTGGATTCACCACAGTCTCAACATCAAGAGATCACCGTCGAGCATGGTTCACCTTTGTCCAATGACGAATTGTTGAAGATAATACAGGGAGCCAATGGCATGCCGGTGCTCTTCATCCCCTCTGGCAACGGTCGGCTTGCGGCTGTAGCTGTCGACGGCCTTCAGAATCTGGTGCCCACCAATCCCACAGGCGATCAATCTGCTAAAAAAGAGAGGCTCCAAGACTTTCGTGCCTGGCTACTTTTCCTCACTTCACTGGTTGCCACCATGTCCTACACCGCGGGGCTTACTCCACCCGGTGGTTTCTGGAGCGCCGATGACAAAGAAAAGGGATACAGCGCTGGTGCGTCGGTTATGCGTGACAAGTTCCCCCCGAGGTACCTGGCTTTTTGCTACAGCAACGCCATCGCCTTCTTCTCGTCGTTGATCATCATTGTCATGCTAGCAGGAAACATAAATAAAGAGTTCGTCAGATTTTACAATCAAATTTTCAAGATGCTTGTAGCACTTTGTCTCATGAGCGTGGTGGCCAGCTTCGTCTCCGGCACGTGGGAAAGCATGCTTCAAGCTTACATGTATGTGCTGCTTCTAGCTATCATTTTCGTCATGCTGGTCGCCTTGTGTGTGCGCGAACGGCACAAGCATCAGCAAGATGATTGATTTTTCAGAAGAAGAAACAGCATGCTTTTGCCAGACTTCCTTGGCGGACTACTCACTGCAAGCAATGATAATTGTCTTGTTTTTGGATCAGTTGTGTTATTGATATGCTCGAGATACAGGCAATTAATTTTTGCAAACTATTAATTATGGGACCCATTATGTGTAAGTTGCCTGAACAAATCGTGTTAGTAACTATTTTTCGTTGTGTCATGTTTTTTTTGTCTGTGCATATATGCTGTTTTGCACAATCTTTTCCACCGTCAGGTCTAACCACTGAAAAAAATTGTGTGCTATAGCGTCGCTAATAGTACCCATAACATTTTGAGTGTCTCGTTAAATAAATTGATGTACTAAGTCTCGCTAATAGCACGCAATAACGCGTTCTAACATGCTAATAGTGTATTTTAAGGCCGGCGCTATTTTGCTGTGACGCACTATTTTTTCCCTTGGGTCTAGCACGTTTATTCTTTTTTCACGAAAGTTACTTTTTTCAAGAAGTCCACGAAAGTCAAGTATAAATGATATCCAGTGCCCAGTAGCAAGGGTAGGAAGGTCATATTAGTATCTACTATAGCAAAAACCTTTTCCCCTCCATCTCCATCGATGAGCATATTGATTCGCCTCCTCCCCGCCTGTCGTTCCGGTAGCGGCTAGGGGATTCCTGGTGTCTCGGCTCTTGCTAGTAGATAGTTAGGGTTTTAGTCCTCGCAGGTGTGGCGCTTATACAGAATGGCGGCTCTTCTTCTTTGAGTCAGTCTTTCGGGATCCAATCCTCCTGAAGTTTTTCCATGGGTACGGATTAGATGAAGCTCCGCTGTAGCTTTTTGACATCTCCTGAGGGGAGCGAGGTTACAGTTTCTCACCATGCATACGAATTGGCAAGAATTGGTGTCGGGTTCTTTAGATTGATTCAAGAATTCAATGACGACGGCTATAGGTCGCTGGTCCTTCACTAGTAGAAAACAAGGCACCAGACCCGGTTCCAGGGGGCCTTTAGTCCCGGTTCTGCAACCAGGAAAAACGATCGGGACTAATGCCCACCACTTTTAGTCCTGGTCGTGTTACGAACCGGGACAAAAAGGGCTCTAGGTGGCCGTTGTGGGTCGCCCAGACAGGAGGACCTTTAGTCCCGGTTGGTAACATCAACCGGGACTAAAAGACATCCACACGTCAGCAGCTGCCAGGTGCTTGGGGTTTTTTTTTTTGAAAGGAGGGGTTTAGGGGTTTCATATTGTGTTAGCTAGCTACTACATATACTAGATCATTGATGGCGCGCGTTGCTGCGCCCGTCTATTTAGAATGTTTTATAAGAGATATGATTTTTTTACCACATGGCCCATGTGGTAACCAACCTAAGAAAAAAAGACTAAGTTGTTTCACAAAAAAAAATCTTTTCATTTCAAATGAGATAATACAATCAGTAAAGTAATAGTAACCTAAAAGAGAATAATATGGTTCCAAGCTGAGACAGAGCAACATCTTAGCTTCGACTTGGCGAAAATGGTCCCCTCACCCACGCTCCATGCCGAACGAATAACATTCAAGAAGAATTTGCAAGGAACTGCAAGCATGCATTGGAGATAACTTTGTCTGGCAGCTGACATTTGCAGTTCTACACCCAGCTATAGAGGGAAAAGTTCAGAAAATGCAATAGTTACATTCTATGAGGATGCAAATAAATCTTCATATTCTGGCTCTTGGCTTTGCATAATTATATGATTTTAGCACAAACACAATAAAACAAAATCTTTTACTATTGAGGCCTCGAGCATGTTTTTTTTCAGCAAGAATGAAAAACTCAGTAAACTACACGTGAGCAGGAACAAGGCCAAACTTACTTATGGTAACAACATGCATTGATATTCAACAAACGCACTGAGTATCAATAAAATGGAAGGGATACAAAATTCTTTAAAAATACAAACTCATTAATTTGAAGTTGAAAAGGGGTGGTCTGAAGTCGATAATGAAAGGACACAGGTACCACAAATCCCATGGAATTCCTCCGTTAGTTGGGTAACAATCCAGGCATCAGCTCAATGGATACAAAATTTCACCTGTGCATAAGACCCTGATGGGAATGAAGACGAACTAATATTTTTTTTGAGGAATAGACAAACCAATGATAATAAACTTGGGCCGGGAAAATATTATTATCATGCTGCTGCTACCTTGTACAACAGACCTGCAGTATACCTTGTATAGGAAATGCTCATAACCATCGTGAGTACTCATAATCATTAATCTTGATCATAGTGCTGTAAAAATATCGTCATAATTATTAGTTGGAACTAAACCCCGAGAATTAAGGATATGCCTCTTCCAGTGCAGCCTCAAACACCTTCCCTATCTTTTATACAAGCGCATGTGCAATCTTTGGACATCACCCAAACCACAATTACACGAGGGATTCATAGACAAAAGAAATGCAAGCTTATCTCACAACGGCAAGTGTTTATTTCAAAAGTAACATAAATAAGCAAAGAAGATGTGGTCCTTTAAAAATAGTGACTTCTATCCACAAGTTTATCACAGAAGCACCTATCATAATAATGCACTAAAACCAATCTATAGACCTCATTGGGAGCCAAAGTCGACACGAAGATAGGAGCATAGACAGCACTGGTAAACAGTTCTGTAAAACAGTATTGCAAAAACAAAAGAGAAAGATGTGAAGAAACTTGAAGGGCCGCCTTACAAATTAACAAGTGAGATGTGTTGGACGAAAAGGCAGCAGTGGCGATGAATGAGATGGTGCAAAGGTGGAAGAGGGAGCGTCCGGCCTGGTGGCCTTGGCTAAGGAAGAGGCCAAGGAGAAGTAGAGGGAGGTCGTTACCTGTCATTGCACCCACCCGCCTAAGTTTGACTCCTGAAACTGGCGGATCTGCATTGGGTTCACCGCCGCCGTTGTGTCACTTGGCCCGTGCCGATGGGACCATGTTGCTCGCTGCAACGGCAGCTTCATGGGAATCCGGTGCTCTCGCCCATGGCGGAGGCAGTGTGCGCTCCACTTGAGGAGCATTCTTCCATCATTTTAGCAATTGTACGTGGAATAAATAATTGTAGTTAGGATTATATTAATAAATAACCACTGCTACCATTTTTATGACGGTTACCACTTGGACACTTAAAATTACCATCCAAGCCAAAACCAGATCACACACAATGAACACATTTATTAGTTACTTAGAAGTTAGAGCAGATGTCATAGAAAACAAAAATACAACAGCCGAGCTCATTACACATTTAGTCTTTGTAAGTTTGCTTAGAACATGATAGAAACAGCTACTCCCTCCGTCACAATTTAGAAGGCACAGTTAAATTTGTGTGCGTTTCCACAATAGACAAGGTTTAAGGCGCATTGCATTTATTTCTAGTAGCTAATTAGTACTCCGATATATTATTTCTATATGCATGCATAGTGTGAATGCTATTTTTTAGCCCATCTCACAACCAATAGATAACCACCTAGATCCCAGAGAATTTCCAAGCGCCCCTTCTAAACCGTGACGGAGGGAGTAGCGTCTCTTTTCCTAATCAAATGGTCACAAGAGTCAAGAATATGAATGAAACTTTGAAACAAAAAATCCTTCACAAGTGATGGTTTTCTAACTTCCTAAATGATGATATTTCTTCTTCATGCCACTATGATGGAATAAATGAATAGATAGATATACACCTGACTATAAATTTCTTTCCATCAACCTCAATCTTAAGCAGAATTATCATGTTTTCACATTCTGAATATGCTCCAGAGAGTCCAAATGATCTAGGTTGTCATCAAACACGAAATAGTACCAACAGAGGGATGCATCCTTATTCGCAAAGAGAAAAAGAGGGATGCATTCTAGTCACCGTTTTCAACCAATCTTGATCTTGTAGGTGTTGTAGCTTCAAAAAAGAGGAATCCATAGAAATTGGTCGCCGCCAAATGAAATTCAGGCTACTGGTCATCCCGTTTGTACCCTAGTAATTAGAGATACAGGACAGTTGGTTTCTGGGGTAGCTAGCCTTCAATTCGCCTCTACCAGGATTAAATACAGGACGGAATATCCTGCAATAACAAATTTGGAGTATCCTATTCAGCCAACATATCAAATAGAGTTGTGCTAAATAAAATAAGTGGAGAAGAGAATAGGATATACTCACTGGTTGTTGTTTTAGTCGCGTGGATGTTTGCATGTGTTCCTACGCCATTCATTGTCGCCGCCCGCGCTGATGGAGAAGCTACTCTCGTTGGCTACTGCCTTCTTAACCTCAAGTGCTTCATCAGGTTCTTCATCAACAATCCAAGTGGCCTCCGCATCTGAATACATCACAGACGTATTGAAAATAAGACGCCACCGTCCCCATAGAAACTGCTCGACACCGGATGAGATTAGGGCTACTGGAGGATGGTTAGGTAGATGGGAGTCGCCGCTCGATCGCCGGTGACCCGGAGCGGCCGCCCCGGTGGTGGATCCGCCAATGGATAGTACAACATGAGCTGATGTGCTCACCTGGATCTAATCGGAGCAGACGCTGCCGCGCATGCGAAGTTGAGAAGTCATCCTGCAGCCCTCCATTTGTATGCGCATCGTCGTTGGCGACCACCCCATCCTGATGCAAGAGTTGCCGTCATGGAAGAACAAGGCGGCGCGGAGGGGATGAGCAACGTTGCAGGGGAGGCGAGGCGTCCTCTCGATCGACTCGCGCCCCGCATCCCGCGTTGGATACCATCGAAGCGGATCCTTTCGACTGACTCGTACTGGATATCCTCGCGCGTGGCACGCATAGCCTGGATCCACACCGGCGCCTCGCCTGGATCCGGTCGCGCCGCCTGCATCCCCTCTCTATAGCATTTTTTTAGGATTTTTTTTTGAGCGGTTATAGCAATTTTTTAGGAGAGGGAGAGGTTTGTTCGTTGCGTTGGGCATGAGCAAGGAAACAGGCCGGCCCAATGCAGCCCAGTTAACCAGAGGGCTCAGAAAAAGCTACGGGAGCAGCTGCCCATGCGACAT